TGAAAAATAGATTTGATGCATTGAACACTAGTGACCAAAGACCAGACAAATTCTGGATGACATCAAGAACATCATACATGAAGACAGCAAAGGGTCATTAAAAAGAAAGGAAAAGAAGAGAACAAAATGAATGTCAGAAGAGACTCTGAAACTTACTCTTGAATGGAGAGTAGCTAAAGCAAATGGAAGAAATGATGACGTAAAAGGAGTGAACAGAAGACTTCAAAGAGCAGAGAAGACAAAGTGAAGTATTATAATGAAATGTGCAAAGACCTGGAGTTAGAAAAGCAAAGAAGAAGAACATGCTTGGCATTTCTCAAGAACTGGAAAAAAAAATCAAGCCTCGAGTTGTGATATTGAAGGAATGGGAGCTCTGGTGGCATAGTGCCTAAGGCATTTGACTGCTAACCAGAAGGCTGGTGGTCCAAACCCACCAGCCACTTCTTGGAAAGAAGATTGGGCAATCTACTTCCATATGAAGGGGTTGCTATGAGTTGGGATTGATCAACAGCAGTGAAGTTTGTTTTTTTTCGCATGGCAAAAGTATCGAACCATGCAGGAACCATCAAAAGAAGATGAAAGTAATACACAGAGTCACTGTACCAAAAAGAATTTGTCAACATTCAACCTTTACAAGAGGTAGCACATGATCAAGAACTGATAGTATTGTATCAAGTCTCCAGGAATCAACAGAATATCCATTGAGATGTTTCAATGAATGAATGCAGCATGGAGGCACTCATTCGTTTATGCCAAGAGATTTGGAAGACAGCTACCTGGTCAACAGACTGGAATAGATTCATATTTGTGCCTATCCTAAAGAAAGGTAATCCAGCAGAATGCAGAAATTTTCATAATATCACTGCTGTGTAGTAAATTACCTGGTATGGCTTTTCTAGCTATAAGTCTTTGTAAACGCCTGGTAGAATTTGCAGTGAGCAACTGAGGAGCTCCTGATTGTAAAAGTTATCTACCTGGGATATTTATGTTGGCAGTTGCACAAAGCAATGTTCTGGGAAGTTTGCTCTCTCTCAGGTGCTTAGAATTCTGCCAGGCTCAAAAGGAGGCCTCCTAGAGGCAAAAGAAGTCTCTCTGACTGCTAGCTGAGAAGGACGTGCTGCTTGAGAGCCATGCGCTCCTGAGAGCCACGTGCTGCTGAGAAAGAGACACAGAGAGACATGCATTGCTAAGAGAGAGACGCTGAGAGACATGCACTGCTGGGAGAGAGTCTAAGAGAGAGACCGTTGGCTGAGAGACGGTGGGCCGAGAAAGACTGAGTGTTTTTCCTGAATTGTAGCCTGGTGCTTCCCTAAAAACCCCATAATCTGTGAGTTCTGTGTGGCCACTGCAGCAAATTGTTGAACCCAGCGGAGAGGTGGTAGGTGCTGCGGGAGGAAAGGTTGGTGTCAGGGTTGGGGAAAAGGCTGGAGGGAGGCAGCATGTCTGGCCTCATAGGAATAGGCCTTGGGCTGCCGATGGTGATTCTGTCTTCCTCTTATGGGGTTAGAGGTGGTCAGAAGATATGGCCTCCCTGCCCCTTTGGCAATCACACACAAGTAATATTTGCTGAAGATAATTCAAAAATTGTTGTAGCAGTATGTTGACAGGAAACTATCAAATGTAAGCTGGATTTAGAAGAGGATGTGGAACAAGGGATATGATATCATGGCTTATGTCAGATGGATCTTAGCTGACAGCAAAAAATACCAGAAAGGTATTTACTTGTGTTTTATTGACTATGCAAAAGCATTTGACTGTGTGGATCATAACAAACTATGGCTAACATTACGAAGAATGGGAATTCCAGAACACTTAATTGTGCTCATGAGGAACCTGTACATAGACCAAGAGGCTGTTGTTCAAATAGAACAAGGGGATACTGCATGGTTTAAAATGAAGAAGGGTGTGCATCAGGGTTGTATCCTTTCACCATACTTATTCAATCTGTATGCTTAGCAAATAATCTGAGAAGGTGGACTATACAAAGAAGAATGCAGCATCAAGATTGGAGGAAGACTCATTAATAGCGTGAGATATGCAGATGACACAATTAGCTTGCTAAAAGTGAAGATGACTTGAAGCACTTACTGATAAAGATCAAAGCCTCAGTCTGCAATATGGATTACACTTACTCAACATTTAAAAAAAAATGAAAGTCCTCACAACTGGACCAATAAGCAGCATCACAATAAATGGAGAAAAGATTAAAGTTGTCAGTGAGTTCATATTACTTGGATCCACAATCAACACCAGTGGAAGTAGCAGTCAAAAAATCAGGCATCATATTGTAATGGGCAAATCTGCTGCAAAAGACCTCTTTAAAGTGCTGAAGAGCAAAGAGGTCCATCTAACCCAAGCCATGGTATTTTCAATCACCACATATGCATGTGAAAGCTGGACAATGAATAAGGAAGACTGAAGAAGAGTTGATGCTTTTGAGTTGTGGTGTTGGTGAAATATACAAAAGTGCTATGGACTGCCAGAAGAACAAACAAATCTCTCCTGGAAGAAGTACAGCCAGAATGCTTCTTGGAAGCAAGAATGGCCAGACTTCATCTGACCTACTTTGGTCATGTTGTCAGAAGGGACCATTCCCTGGAGAAAGATATTATGCTTGGTAAAGTGGAGGGTCAGCAGAAAAGGAGAAGGCCCTCAACAAGATGGATTGACACAGGGGCTGCAATGATGGGCTCAGACATAGCAAGGATTGTGAGGATGCTGCATGACCAGGCAGTGTTTCATTCTGTTCTACATAGCATCACTGTGAGTCAGAGCCAACTCAACAGCACCTAACAACAGAAGAAAATGATGCATTCAAATTATGTTGTTGGCAAAGAAAGTTGAATGTACCACAGACTGCTAGAAGAATGAACAAATCTATCTTGGGAGAAGTACAGCCAGAATACTCCTTAGATGCAAGAATGACCAGATTTATCTCTCATATTTTGGTCAGGTTGTCAGAAGGAACCAGTCCCTAGAGAAGTATATCATGTTTGGTAAAGTAGGGGGTCAGCAAGAAAGGAGAAGACCATCAGCGAGGTGGATTAACACAGTGGCTGCAGTAATGGGCTCTAGCTTATGATTTTGAAGATGGCACAGAACCAGGCAGTGTTTTGTTCTGTTGTACATGAGGTCACCATGAGTTGGAATGGACTTGACAGCACCTAACAACAAAAACGGTCTTTAAGGAAACAGACTGCCACATCTTTCTCCCTTGGAATGGTTGGTGGGTTTGAACTGCTGACCTTTCTGTAGCCAAGCACTTTTACAACTTCAATCACCAGAGCTCCTTATATAGTGACCTTAAATAAGTTGACTGTGTGGAGAGTGTGTAAAATGAGGGACCACATTCAAGGCCAACTCACTAGATCCCAGTGGCACTGTTAAGAGCCAGTGATAAGTATTGACATTTTTGCTGTTGTTAGCTGCCCTTGAGTTGGCCTGTATCTCGTGCAACCTCATGCACAAAGGAATGAAACACTGCCTGGTCCTGTGCCATTTCTATAATGGGTTGCAGATTGAACTGTTGATCCATGGGGCTTTTACTACCTGAATTTCAGAAAATCACCAGGCCTTTCTTCCTGGTCTGTGTTACTCTGAAAATTCCACTAAAATCTGTTCCGTATTATAGAAACATGCAAGACTCAACTGACAGAAGAGTGGTTGGCTGTGCATAAGGTGCATTGGCCTGGCATCAAAGGCCAGGTCTACCACATGGAAGGTGAGAACTCTTGCTGAACCACCAATGCCCCATTCATTAGTATTCTTAGTATTTGATACTTTCAGTTCCTGATATTTTCCTAGGAAGTCTCTTTACTACTCCAGGACTCACTTTTCTCCTTTCTAAACTGAGACACTTGGATTAGATATCTAACGGTCTTCCATTGTGAGTTGATACAGCATAGTAGTTGAGAGGATAGACAGCAGAGTTCATATCCTGGCTCCAGCATTTTATTAGCTGTAGAATATTGAGCAAGTTTATTTAACTTCAGTTTCTTTACCTATAAAATAGAGATGGTAATAATACCTGTTTCATAAAGTTATTTTGGATTTTAAATGAAAAACCAAAACTAAAGCACTTAGAACAATGCCTAGCTTTTTTTAAGTAAGGATTTAGGACTGTTAGCAGTCATTAATATACTGTAATACATTATTTGTTTCTCTTAAATTCATATATTCTACCCAGAAACTTGTAGGCTTTATGAAATTTCTAGTTGGAAATACAGGCAATTAAACAAGAATTTTAAAATAACACAAGTTACACAATTATCTTATTGGATCCCGTGGTTCAAACCCATTGCTGTGGAGTCAATTCCAACTCATACAGACCTTGTAGGACAGAGTAGGACTGCCCCATAGGTTTTCCAAGGCTAATCTTAATGGAAGCAGACTGCCATATTCTTCTTCTACAATGGAGTGGCTGGTGGATTTGAACTGCCAACCTTTTGGTCAGCAGTGAAGCACTAAACCATTGCACCAGCAGGACTCCTTAGATTTCAGGATAGGGAAAATAGTCTTTTACCATGAGAGACACAGTAACCTAAGCACTTATTTTAAGTCTTTTTTTAACGCTAACATCTAATGTTATATATACCATATTCATACAGCATATATGTTATAACCTAATGTGAAGAAGTTCAGATACTTTATTAAAAACTACCAATAAATACAAAAATGTGTCAGTTGGTAGGGAAGGGTTGTTATATGGAAGATTTCAATTCTTTTTGGTATTTTGAAAGTCCTTCTCGGAAGTAAGGTTGGGTAATCTACTTCCATAGTTATACCAACTGGGAAACCAAAGAAGGGGTCACTATGAGTTGGATCCGACTTGATGTTAATGAGTTTGGGTTTTTTTTTTTTCTAATCATAATAAAAATTAATGTTGATTGATCTGAAGTCAGAGAATGCAGAGTAACAAACAACAGACAAACAAACAAACTGGATTGGGCATTTTGGTTTAAATGTTAGAATTCCCTTGTATCTATTTTTTGTTTCTGCAGTATTTTCTTCTCTGAGCCTTGGCCTGCTGCCGGAACGATCTGCTACTCTAATGGTATATGAAGATGTTGTCCAAATAGTATCAGGATTCCAAGGTATGTTTAATAATTAAAAAGAGAAGAGATGGTAGCTTTGGGGCCAACTACTGAAATCTTAGGAGGGACCAGTTTATTGTCAGATGACAGTAGCAGTGCATTCATTCATCCACAGTCGGGGTATAACATCTGTTGTTCCTATGGGTGCACAGCCCATTTGAATGTGGGTTACACTATGAGCTGTAATCTTATTTTTTGTTTTAGGCTCTGCCTTTAAGTATGTGAGAGAAAAGAAGGGGATCCACTTCTCTCCACTGCCACATTTCACTCTTCTCCAACATGAGAGACTATGAATCTTATTTGGTCATTGTAGAACACTGCTTCAGCCTCTACTTACTAGTAGACAGGGCCATACTCTTAAAAGGTGAATAAGCATTCAAGTGTAGGCTTTTTCTCTGTCTTACTTTCTTCTTTTTTAATCAGTCTCACATGTGTGTAGAAGCAGTCTAACCCTTTTTGACTCTCTGTTGCTCTTCCAGAAAAACTAGTACAGAAGGCTTGAGGAATTTGCCCCTTAGTGGTATTGGGGATTAGATTGGGAATAATGCTGGTTTAAAACCAATTTTCGTGCTGAAAAGATCATTTCATTCCATCTAAATTATGGGCCTGAGAATGATAGTTCCTAGCTTTTCATGTTCTTAGATTAGTTTTTCGCTTTAGTCCTTTATTTTAATACCATTTTAGACCTTTCATTCTCTACCTAACAAAAGTCATGTGCCATTTGCAAATGAAGTGAACACATTTATTCATTTAATATTGAGTAGCTGTGGGGAACAGATAGTTTAACATGTAGTCACTGCTCTTAGAAAATGGCTCTGAAGGGAAAATAAGTAGAAGCATCTAGCAGCATATGTGACTTAAGTTTTGGGGAGAAAAAAAGTCTAGAAATAGAGTTGGGAGTCATTTGTACAGTAAAAGCCATACTTTTTTAAGGTTTCTGTTTGATTTTCCTTAAGAGAGAGCAGAGCATCTATGCCTGAGTCTTCAGCATCCTTTCATATTAGGACCACGCTATAGCCTGATAAGTACATTGGCTTTTATACTTTCCATTTGTCTGTTATCAGTTTTCTATTATTGTTTCACAACTGAGAAATGGTGCTTTACTTGAAATGAGGAAACAACTTTTCTTGTTCTTCATGATTGTCACTGTTATGTTGTTATGTGCCGTCGAGTCGGACCCAACTCATAGTGACCCCTCCTTGGGTTTCCGAGGCAGTATCACCATGGAAGTAGATTGCCCCATCTTCCTTCCGAGGAGTGGCTGGTGGGTTTGAACCGCCAGCCTTCTGGTTAGCAGTCAAGTGCCTTAGGCACTATGCCACCAGAGTCTAAATTAATGATGATGAAACAATATGGCTATCAGAGTCACTAAGGAAGGAAGATTCAGTGAGTAAAATCAGGCTGAACCATTTTGGTTTCTATCAGAACCTTACCCAATTAGAAATGACAACAAGAGATGAAAGGTTGTAATTAATGGCCTTGATACAGACAAGCCTGATTATCCTTTTGTTTCAGGCTTTAGGTCAGGATATGCAGAGGGCAATTTAAAACTTGGGAATGATGCTCTGTGAGCTGACAACCAAAACCAAACCCACTGCCATCAAGTTGATTCTGACTCAGCGACTCCTATTGGGTTTCCAAAGCTGTAAATCTTTAAGGAAGTAGATTGGCTCATCTTCCTCCTGTGGAGCAACTGGTTGATTTGAACCGCTGACCTTCTGGTTAGCAGCTAATGCCTTACTCACTGTGCCACTGTGAGTTGACAGGAGTTTTTCAAATACCAAATGGAAATGTTGAATCACCTGGGCTAGTCTTGTTACCTTCGAATCTTATACCTGCTTCATTTCCCGAAGAACTAAGTGCCATGGAGCCTCCTAGCTCCTCAGACCTGGCCCTGTTGGAACTCTGCTTATTCTGATCAGATCTGTTGATTCTGAGTAGCATGCCAATGGAAGGGGCCTGGCCCAAAATAGTGCCAACAAGTCCCAAACCTGACTCAACGGAAGTGAGTTGGTTTTGGTTTTAAAAAACTTTTTTTTTCACAATCTTACATATTTTGATTTTTAATTTTAAAAAACTGACTACTTATTTGTACTACATACTATTCTGAGGACTGTGACAGCTACCAGAATTATCATGACTGGCTCATGAATTTAAAATTGTTTCTCATCCTTTTAACTGATCCTTCCCCTATGCTTACCTTTTCCTAGTCAGAACTAGTCATTACCTAATGTCTTATTAGCCATTATAATGGCTAACCACAATTCTTCATTGTGGTTTTCTTTTGCCTTCTTTGGATCACCCATTCTTTCCTTGAGATATTGGTCCTTCACCATAATCTTAGGTAGAAAGTTCTCAAGTAGCTGGGTAGCTATGTACTGTGATGTGGACCTGCCTTTGGCTATCAGGCAACCAAGTAAATGTAAGGAGGAAGACAGCTAGAGGTCCAGCTTTGCTGGGCCTTCAAAAAGGAGAAGAGGAGTTCCAGTAAGATGGCAGACTAGGCAGAAAGACTGCACAGACCCTCTTCAACAAAGAAAAGGGAAACCAATTAACACAGACACAGAAGATAATCCTGGACCCCTGAGACTTGAAGGGGGAGGATATAGAAGTGGACTAAACCCCAACTAGCAGAAGAATTTGCATGAAAATACCAAAAAAGAAGACAGACAGAGCTGCGGTCTGGCAGTAATCCTGAGCGATCCCGACGGCACAGCACAGACAGCTTGGAGATTCCCAAGTGGTGGTAGGACCTAAGAATTAACCTAAAAACCAGCCCTGCTAGCCAGGAACTGCACAGAGGACTGCTCTGGTGGCTGGGGAATAAACGGAGAAGGTAAAGAGAAAGGCAGGTTGAGCTATGGACTTTTGCCGGTCTGGAGGGCACCACCATTTTGAATGTTTAAAAGCGGCTTGACATTTAGAGAGACAGCACTCTTGCAGATTCCTGGGGCTAAAGAACACATTCTGCTTGCCAGCAACCCCAAGGACACTACGGACCTGCAAGACTGAAAAGGTGCAACATTCCTTTTGTTACCTTATACCCCACACCTACTTGGTGAATGGAGGTGCAGCCATCCCCCACTCCCACCTACCTTCTGGGCCCACAGGAACACCATCACAGTCTGTGTGCTCATACAGAGCCTGGGTGCCCTGCCCTGTCCTCCACCAATTTTTTTTCTCTTTATTTTTTTATTTTTCACTTTTTTTTTTTCTGGTGATTAGTTTGGTTGTATTTGTCTGTTTTGAAACAACTATTATTATTAATACTTTTGTCCTTTTTACTATTATTCTTATTTTTCCCCTCCCAGGTACTAGTTATCAGCATTTTTTCTTTTCCCTGTTCCTGCTTGAATTTTTTTTTTTAAATTTAAGTTTGTTTGTTTTCCCCCCTTTTTTCTCATGGTTAACCCCATTCCTTGTTTCTCTTTTTGCATTTTTCCCATTTTTTTTCCTTCATTATTCTTCTTATCTACCTTTTTTTCTCTTAGTGCCCTATGCCCAGATATTGCAGGTTTTCTTGTTTTTTCTTCTTCTTTTTCCCATTTTTCTTTTTTTGGTTACTGTTCCTGTGTGATTACATGGTGTGTTTTTTTGTCCACATGCTTTTAGTTTTTTGATGGTTATTAAATTCTAATTTTTCTCTAACTGAGTGGAAGACAGCAACAGTCCCCCTAAGACACAACTACATCCACACCTTCTGCAACTTCACTTACTGAGCGAGAGCCACTACCTCCTTCTCCACCAACAGGCCAATGATAAAAAACCACCAAGAAGAGCCTAAATCACCCTTGGCTGCTTTTCATACACAGTTAACAGAGATCTAAATACAACAATGCCATGATGCCTTGGAGATAAAAGACCACAGTCCACACAAAGAAGCAGAATAAAGTGGTAGAAACAAGGGAGCAGGATACAGACCCAGAACACATCCCTAAGGAAAAGCGGCTTTGGAATTCTCTGATAAGGAATTCAAAAGAATTATATTTAGTTATCTTCAAAGGATTGAGAGACCAAAGAAAGCAGAGAAAAAAACCTTAGAAGGATTTTCGAGGAAAATACAAGAACAAAATGATAAAATAAATGAAAAATTAGAAATGATTCTAAATCTACAGATAGAAATCCAGAAGATT